ACTCCACTCATATGAAAAAGTGTAATACAGTTTTTAAATTACTTTATTAACAAATAAAAATCATTATTTCTGATCTGAGTTGATCGATTTTAGCACGTACAGCTTGTTAGTTAATAGTTAGTGTGATCATTAAATTAACAATTATTCCGCATAAACAGCTTTCGTTATAGAATAGTTTCGAGATGATTCGAACTACCCGTTCTAGCTTCTTACATCATTATAAGTTAAGAGCACAGAACGAAAAGTTTTTTGAAGAGCTTTTAATATTTCAGAGGCATGGAAAACTCCAAGACCCTACTTGAGTGATGCACCATTAATAAACTGTTTAAAACTTAGAAAAAAAATCAAATTACACACCGAATGAAATCGACACTAGTACGAAATGAATAAATATGAAGAGTTATTCATGCGCAAAAGCCTCAAAAAATTAATAAATTATAATAATTTTACAAAAAAGAGACTGATGTCTCTAACATCAATAAAGACTCCGGGAAATATAAGAAGCTTCTAGCTACAATTGTAAACGGTATTAAGGTTAATATTTACTAAACTAATGTTCAATAAATTCATTGGGGGTATTTAGAAGCAATTAAGTATTTGGCACTACTTATTCACATTACGATATCTAATAATCCCCCGATAGTTAAGCTAACATTTAGAATCTTTTGAGGCAAAAATCTAGTTGAAGCGTCCTCGACATTCCAGCTGAATGTAAAAATTGTCGGTAAAGCCGTAAAGTTGACATATTTCGAAAAGTTCAAATTTCCAGCCAGCGTCAAGTTAACGTTGATTGATTAACAGCAATCGGAAAATAACAACTACCATCGTGGAAAATATTGTAAAACCAGTTTTGATAAATTGATGTACTGTGAATTTCACGCGAGATGGCAATGTATCAATAATTTGCAAATTTCTTTACTGTTCGGAATCTTCATATTTTTCTCCCTTCACTCACAATGAGTTAGTAACGCACGAATAACTTAACGAACGATAATTTGATCATAAAAAATAACGAAAAAACTAATACACAAAGTGAAAACGGTAATCGACCTCGAAATTGCTAGATGATAAAACGAGAAGCAGTCAAGAAAAGCTCAAATTAAAACCGCCTAATTCAAGATAATTACATTGTCTTAAACGATGAAAATAAATTACCAGAATTATTACCTTCACTATACTAACAAACAAGCAAATTCGGAGATAATTTCAAATTCAATCAATGCAGTTAAGTCAATTTCATTATTTTAAGGGAATTTTATATTCAAACATTACCATAAATACATTCATATTAAACTGTCTGTCTATCATTATCAAACAATCCTATAATTCCCTCATTCTTCACATTTTATCACATAAATCTGCATAGATATTCTTTTTCAAAAACTAGAATCTCATCCAATTAGTCTTATAGTATCTTATATAAAATATTCGTACGAAACGTTTAACCATCGCCACTTCCTCTATCAGAAAAAAATATAGAAACGATTAAACTGCAATTCAGTTAAAAATTTACTTGCTTCTTTCTTTTCGGTCTAGTTTAAGTGCAGTTGAACATCGTAAGGTGCTTAAAACAACCTAGCTTAAATAATTTAAAAGCTTGGAAAGTAATGAACTTAGCGCTGTAAGAAAATCAACTGCTACAAGATGTAGGTTGAAGAGGGCAATAATCGTTAGAACGAAAGCGTTTTAAAGGGCTTTTTGACACTTTCTTTTTAGGAAAATACCCCTAACTGAATATTCCTGAGAGCATACGTAATAGAGAGCACTAAACAATAATGCTTAGTGATAAATAATATAGTTGCATAATTTTATCATTAAATGCGATGAATAATAACAATTTCTTTAATTATATTTAAAATGTCACTTTAAGCCAATTAGGCTATTTAATGTACTGATTTAAAAAAGAAAGCAATTGAAAACAGAACTACTTCCGAAAAGTAATCAGGGTTCACATGAAAAGCTCTCATAAATAAAATGTATAAAAGACTAAACAAGAAAAATGTGAAATAATAGATCAAAAAAAACTAAATCCAAAAAAATCGAGCGTCTCATAAGATAATCATTTGAAGTTAACCAAGCCCTTCATTTTCAATATAGAGGGTGTCCCGTAAGCACATCATCAAAAGCGTGCTGCAACATTCTAGGGCTTAACACAAGAGGATCTGACTTAATTAAGTATCAAGTATTAATAATCAAGAGGAAATATTTGCTCCCACACTATTCATGGTAAAACTTCTTCAAAAAAAATCTTATATATCTTAAATATCGGTAGAATGATACCATGGATTTTAATTAAACTCGCTGGAAATGTGTTCTTATGTAAGACTCATATTTTGATGAAACAATCGAGTTCATCCGTTTTGGGCAAGTGATAAATTCTTGAGTATCTTAGTACAAAAATAACCAGAACTTTGTATTTGATAACTGGAATTAACAGATGTTTTTGCATTAATGCACTAATCTGTTTCGACATTTTGTGCTCATAATTAAATCTTGTAGCATGCATAGTTTGTCGTAGAGATTTGCAATTAATATCTGAAATCGTTTAATAGCAAGGAACCAAAAATATGTTTTTTGTAAAAACTATGAGTGCTGCAAGATTTTACAAAAAGTCCTAAATGTAAAAAGGCTCAGTGCATCAACTCATCATCAAAAAATGAGTTTATTGCAGTTACCAAATAAGAAGGTCTGGTAATTTTTGTACCAACACACTCAAAAATTCACCACTTGCCCAAAGCGGATGAACTCGGTTGCTGCATCAAAATATGAGCCTTCAGAAGAACAAAATCAGAACGAGTTTCAATTCAGTCACTTGATATTTCGAAAAACATAATTTTTTTAAGAACTTGGATAGAAGAGGAGTCAACATTTTTTTTCTGAATAAAAGTTTTATCAGATCGTCTATTTTGAGCCAAATAATGTCGCCGTATCCTTACGAAGCCTGTATATGCAAGTCTTACTGAGTTCATTAATTAATTTTAATGAATAACCAGAAACTATTGTCACGATTTTCGACCCATATTCAAACGACTTCGAATGTAAGTTCAACACACTTCTATCGGAAAACATCAATAATGGAATAAGAATGAGAAACTCACATAACTCTGAATTCACGTCATTCTCTCAGTTCACTACGAACGAATGGCACTCGTTCCATCTTATTAACAGTTCGAAAACAAGCCCTGCAAATTCTATATCGCAACCGGATAGAACTGATATTCATCTGCCGGTCCCTTGTACAATTAACTTGATTTTAGTCTTATTTTAAATATTAACTTGAAACTTGCTCTGTGTGATTTTATGACGAAAATTAGCTCTAAATAGGACAAAATATCTGAACTTGGTACATCTTCTTGACATTCTAGAGTAAGTTTTTTATTAATATATGTATATTTTCACATTTAGGAATGTTTTCCGGGCTTTGAAGCCGTGGTCTATGGGAATTTCTTCCTGACGTTTCGTCCACAACTGCGGTGGACATTATCA